TTCCTATTAATAATAGTATATATATTATCGTAATAAGAACAGTAGGCTATTGTCCTTCATTTCGTAAGCTCTTTAAGATACAACTGCAACGAAAGTAACAAACACAATGCAATATCCTTTTCAATTTCAAAGAACACAAATTGGGTTATATACATTAACAAATACCTATAAAACAACAATATTGTAGAATTACAAAATGAATGCCGTGAAAACCCGAAATACACGTGTTGAAGCTGTTCGCTGCTGATTACTACGCACGCACCCAATTTTACAAATTAGAAGCTATATTGGAGTAAACCAAAAACAATTACTAACTATACCTCCATACTCACCACTAGAGAAAATAATGTTAAAGGACTTTAGGGGGAAAAACTTAATTTCTGCACTTTATAACTTGCTTATATCTGGCTCCCCTGAGTCATCCGAAGCTAAACTTAGGAATTGGAGGGAGGATTTGCAGGAAGACATTTGGATTGATGAGTGGGAAGGTGCCTTTAAGAAAGCTCAATCACAAACAGCGAATACCCGTCTTAAGCTCTTACAATATAACTGGCTGATGCGTACATATATTACTCCAGAAAAGCTATACAGATGTAATGGTAATATCCCGGACTTATGTTTTAAATGTGAACAATCTAAGGGAACATTCTTTCATTGTGTTTGGGTGTGTACCAAGATAAAAACGTTTTGAGAAGAGGTCAAATGTATGATAGAAGATATTGGATCATTGCAGTTACTCATGGAGCCCAAGTTTTTAGTTACCCAAAAGAACACAACATAAGGAAGAGAGAACAAATCTTTTTATTTTATGTATGTCTGCTACCGGCAAAACGCATGATAGCATTTTCATGGAATTTTTTTAACAGTCCAAGTATTGTTAGATGGCTAAAATAATTGTCTGCATGTGTCTCATTAGAGAAAATAACCTATTCAATTAAAGGAAAACAAGAACTATTTAAAAAAGTATGGGGCCCTTTCCTTAACTATCTGGAACATGCAGATCTAGAGAGTATTCTGGAACAGCAAACTGGAGATGATTAATGTCCCTCTGCTGGGAGAAGGATAAAAGCCTTTCCTATCTGCCTATATTTCCTTACTTAGCCTACCCACGTGTTTGTGAAGTTCATTTGATGTATTTATGTGACTTGTAATCAGTGGCGTAGCCAGGAATTATTGTGTGGGTGGGCCTGGAGAAATGTAGGTGGGCCAGGGGGAGACATATTAAGTGTGGGATCTGAGCTGAAACTTCATTAATGATTTTTTAATGCACTAATAGAACATAAGCATACATTAGCAGTGAAAACAAAAAACATAGGCACGGCGGCCTCAGAATGTGTGTAAAACTGACATCCACATAGGGTACACAACGGTACTACTACTTTTATCGATAGCGCTTATGCTTATGCTCCAGGTTCAGTACCAACCACATCATAAAGTACGCGGACCATACAACAGTGGTGGGACTCATCAGGGACAACAACGAACAGGCCTACAGGGAGGAGGTGAAACATCTGACAGACTGGTGTAACACCAACAACCTGATCCTGAATGTCGATAAAACAAAAGAGATCATTGTCGACTTCAGGAACAAAAAGCACTGTCACCCACCACTCCACATCAACGGCACAGCAGTGAAGACTACAGACAGCACCAAGTTCCTGGGGGTGCATATCACAAGCAGTCTGACCTGGTCCACTCACACGACATCACTATTTAAGAAGGCACAGCAGCGCCTACACTTCCTGCACAGCTCCCCCCTCCCATCCTCACCACGTTCTACAGAGGAACCATAGAGAGCGTGCTGACCAGCGGCATCTCCATCTGGTCGAGAGACTGCAACGCCAAAGACTGGAAGTCTCTGCAGAGAGTGGTCAGGACAGCAGAGAAGATCATCGGAGTGTCTCTCCCTCCCATCAGAGACACCGCTCAGAAACGCTGCCTGACAAAAGCCCAGAACATGTTGAAAGACCCCACTCATCCTCACCATGCTCTGTTCTCCCTGCTGCCCTCCGGCAAGAGGTTCCGCAGCATTAAGAGCAAAACAGCCAGATTCTGCAATAGCTTTTTCCCTATGCCATCAGACTGCTGAACAGCAAGTAGACCAGTAACATAAAGATTACATTACGCTGTGTAAAGAGCACATATTTGTTATATAGTATGTCTATTTTATTTATATGTATAGTAAGTCTTTATATTTTAAACGCACACTTTATCTTTAATTTTATCAGCACCACGTCACTATTATTTATTTATATGTACAATTTTAGCACGTTTTTATATTGTCCTGTTCCTGTAAGCCAGTACAACGACATTTCGTTTTAATAGTACACTCTGTGTCTTGTTGAAATGACAATAAAGTATGTCTATGTCTTATCGATCCGGTCCTTTAACATTACTCTTATCGGTTCTTTTGGAGAAAAAAATAAAGTAAACTAACTAAACAAATTGTGAACAAAACTAACATTGCTTTTTATTTCAATTAAATACATAATATTTCACATCAAAAGAAACAACAATGTTTTAACAAATCATATTAAATAATGTGATGACAGAATTGTAAACAGAATAGCTGAAACTTTAACTAAATAAATAACTCAGTTACCTCTAATCATTAACCCATGTTTGTATAATGTAGTTAACTCGGTGTGTTGCTGCTAGCATACATAACACCTGACGTGGAAACGTTCCTCGTGGATAGAGCTACAGAGCTGCTAGAAAGACAGTCAAACCCGGTGCATTTCTTCGTCTGAATGTGGAGCACTTTTGATAAATGTTTAGACACATTGCTCGTGTTACCGCCCTGACATGCTACACTCTTATTGCACTTTTGGTAACGAGCATTGTCCACATCGACACGGCTATAGTTTAACCACACCTCGGAGCGCGTTCTCTCCGCCATCTCCTCCGTGTGTGTGTGTTGCTGCATGTAGCAGCTGCGTGTGTGTAAACTGCCCCGCCCCCTCGCTCATTCACTCACGGCAAAAGTTACTTTACTTACTATAAAAACTCACGGTAAAAAAATGCACTCCCTATTCCATTGTCATGAAGGTGGAATCTAACTATATCCAGAATAAGTTTTATTGGATCCAGGCTAGAAACATGTTTATTTCTGCTGTAAAGTTGGGCATTTTAACATGGGGGTCTATAGGAATTGCTTCTTTTTGCATCCATCCGGCGGCCACTAGATGAACTGCAGTTTGTGGCACTTCCTTCTGGGCTTCCCGGCTCTGCGCTATGAAGCACTGATTGGCTGTGGGTGGGCCAGACGTGCATGTGGGTGGGCCCAGGCCCACCCGGGCCCACCCACAGCTACGCCACTGCTTGTAATGTATTTCATTTAAATGTTGTCTTTATATGCTAAAACAAAAAAGAAAGTGTTTAAAAAAGAAATGAACTCTTATTTTGAAAATACAGCTTCCTGTGTTTGAATGAGCTGCTCCGACCCTCGGTCCAGACGAACTCCAAAAGTCTGACATTATACAATCAAACAAATAAATAAACACAAGGATAATTGTGTTTTATTGTTGAGTAAATAACAGTGTGTGGTTTAGAAAAGAATACAAAATTAGAAGGAAGAAACGATGAAACAATACAGATTTCAGTATTCTGAGCCCCTACTCTCCCCATAACTGACGGCAACAAAAGTCCGACATTATACAATTAAAATAAAGAAGTAAAAACAATAAGTGTGGCTTGATATTGAGTTAGAAAAAGGTTGATAAACGCTGTGAGAATGGATCTGTGGAGAGCATTTCTCTGCGATCTCAAGTCGTCTATAAGCAACGTTTAGGGAGCTCTATGCAAGTCAATGGGACGCCCTGATAGTTGAAAATGTACGCTAAAGGCCCCCACTGCGTTTGATAGTGACGCCAAGGGAACCTGACATAACGTCACTATAGGACGAGTTGGGTGTGAGAATGTGTTGCATTTATCCATCCTCAGGCCCCAGCCACCCCTTTTGCTGAACCAGGAAGTTAGCTCCCCCAACGACCATGGTATCTCTCTTAGACAAAGAACATCATTAATAAAAACAAATACCAGTGCCAAAGTGTGTGCAAATAAACAAAAATAATGTCCGGTTACGAGCAAATAAAAAGTTGACTATTTAAATCAAAGTGTGGTGTTAATTGTTGACTGGAACTCAAATGTATTATAACTATTGGAGCTGAGGGGACAGCATAATTACTTTACCCTGTGGCCCTCACAGTGTGGGACACCCTGTATTTCCAAGGTTACTGTGCAGCCTCTTCCACTTCAAGCCTGGAGACATCTGATTTCAGAGCAACCCTCCTCCCCTTCTCTGACTCATCATGTCTGTGCTTTTATCCATCTTTCAAGAAGGTGTTTCCTTTCTCGTAACTTTTCATATGAATTGAAGCTCCTAGTTTATCACCATTGTTTATGTGCTTGCCTCAGGATGCTCAGCCGCTCAGTGTTGCTCTGCTGTAGTAAGATACTTCAGGAAGTGCTGAGTGGCTGAATACATCGGAGCAGTGATGATGTATGTTTGTAGGCCGACCCATGAGTTAGCATTACAAGTGCTCCCTCAAAAAGAAGCAGATTACATTTTGTTGGATTTCATATTGTTGTTTGAAGTGAGGTGGTTAAATAAGGTCTCTTAAATACTTTATAGTTGTCCAAACAATATAAATGAAGGGGGGTTGTTTTATGTAATGTTAGAACCTTGGATGAAATAAAATGGTTTATATTATTACTGTATAATAATGACAAAAGACAAAACAAGATTGGTTGTTTATGATGATGAATATTGCTCTGTTTCATTTCCTGGAAGCTCTAACCCACTGTTTTCCCCTTCTGGACATTTTAGAATTGTGCAAAGTTCAAAATATTTTTCACACACGATCTTGCAGACTCTAGTGGTTTGTCTCTACAGACACCCAGGAATTATTAAACCAATTTTTGTTAATAAAGTCATTTTAACAGTTCTAAAGTTTCAACAGTTTTAACCATGAAACCATGTTTCCTGACTCCACCTGTAGGCCTGCTGCGATTGGAGGAGCTGGTCCACCGCTTCCTCATCTCCAGGGAGACGCTGTCAGTGCGAATGCTGGACGACAGCCTGGACCCCACCCCCCTGCTGAAGGAGATCCGTGATGACAAAGTGGCCACCATCATCATCGACGCCAACGCCTCCATCTCCTACCACATCCTCAGAAAGGTGGGGTCTCAAAGGCTCGCCGTTATTACGTTTTAAAGTAGTAGCTTATTAGGTACAATTGTGTTTGTTGGTATGACTGGAGCAAAAGGTGACAGATTTGTTCATGGCCATTGAGAAACCAAAAGGTTGAATTAAGTGATGGATGTCACTGCATCAGTAGGCAACAACAACATGTTATGTCTGTGTCACACGTTATGACATCACTAGGCCTGTCAACATTAACAATGGTTGGCTGACAACAACTAACGCTAATTATTTATAATACCAAGTTTGACCCCAACTCCCTCCCGTATTTCCAACACAAATGTTTACCATGAATTGTAGAGCAGTGTTAAGAAAGCAAATGGAGACAACTGGACATTAGTAAGCAGTAACCTCAGTGTAACAGCACCCCTGATCCAAGACAAAAACTGCACTCGTTAGCTTTAAATGTTGTAAGAATGGAGAAAAGGCATTTTGATGAAGCATGTGCCAGTTTCTTGAAGTCTGGAAAACAGATAGAGCTGTGGTATGATAGCAGCAGAGAGAATATGCCCTGTGTCGCACACATTACACAGAGGAGGAGCGATTAATCATGGTTAATCACAGTTTCTTTTTTTATGATTAATGCAATTCTATTTTTACAGCAGTGGTTATAATGATGGTAGCCTTCACAGCTGTTCATTTGAACGGTCACCTGTTTATCTTTTCCTAAACTGTGACCACGTTGTTTTGTCGCCTAAGTAAACTGAGTAAACCAAGTTTGTTTCTAATGTTTAATTGTACGGTCACATGATCTACATCTATTGAAATAGAAAGGTGGCTTGTAAAGGTTTATGAGTCTGTGGGACTCAACCTGTTCAGTCGTTATGGTGACAGGACATTTTGGTTTTATTGAACTTCCCTAGAAACTGTCTCTACCAAGCCTGCATTCCACTCATAATTTGAAGATCTCTGTTATTATTAAGGCTGTGACTGCTCACTGCTAGTGCAACATGAATACTCCTGTATACTGTATATTATAAATATGTTAATAATATTGGTAATTCTGCATAAAAAACATCAGTCTTTCATCCAAGAGCCGCTGTTAATGTCCCATGTTATACCAGAGTTGAATTATTGTCAAGTAACTTCCATACCTTAATTACACCACTTACTCAGTTATTTTTAAGCTAAACCACAACCTTTTCCTGAACATATCAGAATCAGAAATACTTGATCCTATGGGAGAAGTTGTTTTTTGGGACAGTGGAGTCTTCCTCCAATTTATTGACTGAGAAGATGGAAGTAAATTGTTTTAATGCATGCAGCGAGTCACGTGCTGCTAGACAATTTTGGGATAGAGGATACTGGGTCACATATAGCCTCATAAACTCACAATGATGATGTGGTCTACATGTCTTTTTTTGACAGACCCAGAAGACATATGTTTACCTCACACTTTAAACAAACTAAGTCTCTTTCTTAACAGTTTTTCTCCACTGACAGATCCTGTATTTGTACTGTGAGGCATTATCAGTGCTTCATATTATTAAAGAATCAGGGAGCTCCGTACCATGCTGTCAGAGTAAAGGTTCAGTGAGCAGGGTTGGAATATGAGACAGATGGGTTTCTTCACTGTGAGTTTCTTCAGATAGGTTAAATATGTTGTTCCTCAGCGCTGACACTATTCTTTCTTCTTTTCCCACTCTGTGGACCTGCAGGCGAACGAGCTGGGGATGACGTCAGCCTTCTACAAGTACATCCTCACCACCATGGTAAGAGCTCTGTTCATCCATCATGTAGCACTTGTCCTCCATTAAAGGTCAGATATTATGCATAAAGCACTTGTTTGTGGCTTTTAAATATGACTGTGTGCACGTTGTGTAGTGAGCAAATTAGATCTGTCTCAAGTCTTCACAATCACCATGATATTACTCTTTTTGTCTTCCTTATCTTAATATTACAATCTTTTGACACCTTCAAGGCTGTTGTGAAGGCTGAATCCGGTTTTGAATTTCTTTCAATGATATTGAATCAGGTTTTAATTCACTGTTTTGATATTGAATCTGGTTTTGAGTCACTTTAATGAAACAGGCTTTCACTTACTTTAGTTATACTGAATTCGTTTTTGTCTCACTGTTTTGACACTTAATCAGGTTTTGACTCACTGTAATAACACTGACTCAGGTTTTGGCTGACTTTAATTATACTGAATCAGGTTTTGACTCGCTTAATATTGAGTCAAGATTTGAGTTGCTGGCAATGATATTGAATCAGGTTTGATCACATCCTGAAACTATTTCTCCTCCTCACTCACCTCCGCCTGCACACAGCAGACTTCCCTCTTCATCAGACATGCAAGCTGCTTTCTGATCATTATCATGTCAACGTCTGCTGTCGTGCCCTTGTCGTGAAAAAGACCAGGCATGGATAATAACTTGTCTCGAACTCGAAACATGTAAGTGCCACATCATTTAATGGCACTGTTCGCAAGGGCACTCCACACTGTGCCTGCAGAGAGTGAGGGTCTGCCCCCCCCAGCAGAACCCTGGATATGGACCAAAATGAAAATGACTCCCCCTACTTAAAGACCTCCGGAGCATATTCATCTGCAGCAGTGTCTGCGACCTACCACTCACTTTGTATTAAAAACGCTCTGCTGACGGACAGGACGTTTGGCTGAGAGACGTATACATGTAGAAAGGATTTTAAAACAGCAGGCAGGAAACAGAGACATGTCAAATATCTTTGGCTTTTCTCTAAACAAGAACCCACTAATTGTATTACTTCGGAAAACAGGCTTAGATTCCTACTTATTTCTCGTACTAAGAATAGCAATTATTAAAGAAATTACAAGGAATTGGTAAACAGATAATAACTCAAAATGGAAGAATCTAGTAAATGAAATTCATTGAATGGAGAATCAGTAACCAAGTTCATATCTTTGATGAAAGATGGGAAGGATAAAACATAAAACACTTACAATGACGTGGTAAGAAGTGACAATTAATGTACGTATGAGTATTAATGTTGTGTCCATTATGTGAAAGATAAACATTACCTAAACCTTATAAGTTATTATCAATTTGTATTTGTTCCCCTTTTTCTGATTTGTGGACTGTTATGTAGTTATTTTATTCATCTAAGTGTTTGTTTTGTTTTGTATGCCTTGTAATCAAATCATTTCCTAAAAATACAAATAAAAAAATTAAACCAATACAGACAAGATACTAAAGTAGACGAATAGGTTAAAAAAAAGAAGGTAATTCATCAAGCCTGATATAGCATTTAAGTCATTTAAATAAAAAAGTGTTACATTGGCAGTAAATGATCCTGGGCTCCAGGTTTTACAGCTCGTCTCTGGTTCCATTTCAGCGCTCTGAGCAGCAGCAGCTGAGCTGAGGCAGAAAATGAATGAGAATGTGGCTTCCAAGTAAGACCATAAGCCGTGTGTAATGAGGGTCAAAGCAAACATTAGATTAAGTTCATTACATTTCATCTAATTAACTTCAGGATCACACATTTCCTCCAGACTGCTGCCATCTGGACCTTCTATATGTATTTGGTACCGTGTGCCGGTCTGTTTATCAGTTGGCGCATTTATGGTCCAGATTAAAATATCTTGATTTTACTTCCAGCGCCATAATCAGAACACAATGAGTCCAATACTTATGTTTATGAGCTGTACCTGCAACTTAAGACCTTCCCATCAGCCTCAACTGTATCGCCTGTTAATGCTGAATGCTAAACCTAAACTGTAACAATTGGTAACCTCCGGAAAATGTGAATGTTACCATTTAGCTAAATGTAATTTCAAACGTTTTTGATGTATCTGTATACTCGCTGCACTAGGCGGGGTCACTTACTGTAGAATCACATCTATAGACTGTATATAGGTGGATGTTGTTACCTTTGGTTGACGACCGATTTTAAGCTTAAAGACGTCATATTCTGCTCCTTTTCAAGTTCATATCAGTATGTAGTGTCTCTACTGGTACATGTCTCCATGCTTTAAAAAAGCTCTTTATTTTTTCTCATACTGCCTGTGCTGCAGCACCTATTTTCACCCTCTGTCTGAAACCAGAGCCCAGTCTGCTCTGATTGGTTAACTGGCCGGCTCTGTTGTGATTGGTCAACCACTTAGTGTGTGGAAGAGAGAACACAGGGATTTTTGCCTTTGCAGACTATTTACATGCATAAAAACCTATAGAACACACTATAGGAGAGGGAACACCCCAAACAACTTTTTTCAGATTGTTATTCCACTGTCAACATCCGGGATTTATGAATCCAGAAGTGTCACAAGAGCGTAGAGATCAACGGAAGGCAGAACAAGATACTTTTAGGTGCCTCACATTTCACCAAACACTGTTATGAAGTGACAACTCACAATAAAAGGAATAAAGTAAGAGGAGACTGCAGAACCCAAATTCGTGATAGCAAACTGTCGATCAGAAGGTAGCCAAACCTTAAAGAATATGCTGTTTTATGGACTATTAAAATTCAATTAATGAGTTCAAGCACTTCATTGGTTTAACTTTTTAGAGCTGGTTGCCATTTGATCACATGTTTTTAGACATTAAAGAGCCTGTGACAGCCTCCCAACAACTGTTGTGCAATGAAATATTGGGCTACTAGTAATCTCGAACCGTCAGTTTAAAAAATAAAAAGCGATACCGTTCCGTTAAATATCAATAATTTCGAACATCGCGGGGAAATTCCTTCGACTCATTTTGAAGTTTTGGGGGAAGCCGGAAGTGACGTCAATGCGGGAACGCTTCACTGTGCGGCGAGAGAGCCAAACACGGACAAAGTGTGTTGTCATGCGTAGAAATGGTGAATTACTGAGTTTAGGCACGTTAATAACGTTGTAATGAAGTTGACTACAGTATATTCATATTTGTCAGTGCTTTCATGTCAATTCGGCGAACATAAACATAAATGATCGTGGTGAAGATGATGATTACATTAGGATTACAAATCGGTAGTGAGAGCTACTGAATTTCCTCCCGTGGGATGTGATATAAAAACAAATCGATTATTTTTGTAGTTGTAAACTCAAGTGGATGAAACTACATTTATTAGTGCTTTCATGTCAATTCGGCGAACATATGATACATTAAATGATCGTGAGAATGATGATTAAAAATCGTTTGTTTGTGCCGGTCTGCATTTCCTGATGAGAAAACAAACCGATGCTTTTTGTAGTTGTAGTACACCAACATGGATTAAACGTGTGGTTTTTTTACCACAATGTTGGGGAAATTAATGGATAAAATGCACGGATTATTATTATTATTATTCCCACTCCGATCGGGACACTAGGTCCACCGTTTCCCTGCAGTGAGGCTCCCCCCGTTGACAGTTTACGTGGGCTGGGTGCAGTGGCGGACTGGCCATCGGGACGAATCCCGATGGGCCGGTACCGAAGTGGGCCGGTCGGATAAGTCATTAGCACATCCCCCATAGGCGGCGCGTGAGGCTCTGGTTTGGGAAGGCTAAATCACTTTTTTTACCTGACGCTGCCCGCCTCCGGCGTCTATAGAAAAGAGATCAACTCAGTGTGCGGAGTTTAAATCTCTCAAGTCATATTACAGGATAAAGGAAATACAGTTTAAACTGCCGTATGCCGAGAAGACGCCGATGTGTCGCACTTATCATTCATATTACATCATCAATCAGATCATCGATCATATAATATCATAATATATCATAGATCTCCTTATCTGAGTCAGCTTCTCCAGCCTTATCTGGCCGTGCAACACTTACAGTGTCACATACTGTATGCAGAAGTATTATTTTAAGCAACACATTATGTTGACGAAACACTCGAGTCAAATGTAGCCTAGGCTAATTAAAGTCAGATCCACTCGTGTCTTAGACGTGAACGCGCTCTCAGCTGGTGAGAGAAACCCTGGCTTGATTTACCGAGTTGATAACCAGCGTCGTAGGACCGCTTAGCGAGATCTCGTTTATTAGTTTGTTGTTGTTAGTTTGTTTGTTACTCAAACATATCCAGGGTATGTTGAACTGGCTTCGTAGTACAGGGCACAGGTGGCTAGCAGCGCTAATGTCAAAGACACAGACATTGCATTATATTTGTATTTTACCAGGATGCAGTGACACAAATATTTACATATTTACATTTACTATCTACAGCACCCGCCGCCCCTGACATCCCCCACTCCCCCCGTTGACAATTTACTAGCGGTACCGAAGTGGGCCGGTCGAGAGTCCCGGGATGATTTTTAGTCCCAGTCCACCACTGGCTACATGACCGTATGATCGCCCATATTGACGCACCTAATTCCTAAACTTCTAACAGATACAACATAAAGCGATCCTTCAGCCTCATATGAGCTCTCAGACACGTTCAAAATGAAACTGTCATCGCTGTCTGAGCTTGCTGCTGTGTGCGCCATCGTGCGTTTACATGCAGATGCTGGGATCCTGAACGGTGCAGCTGGAGCGCTGTGCCCGCAATGACGTCACACATCATTTGGCGGGACTTGAAGAATCCCCAAGAAGATCCAGAATATGGTCAACATTGAAGGGCAGATTAATGGTTATCAAAGTACAAATATCCAAAATCAGTTCAGTAACGATTTTCAAGGGGACAATATTTACTCAAATTGATGGGTTTGAATGATGGGGGAAACTCGTGTCACAGGCTCTTTAAGAACACAATGTTCACGCCTGACAGACAGAAGCAGTCAAGGTTAGACTGACATCAATGTGTTACCCTTAGGCAAAGGCAGACGTGAAACAAACATAG